ACCATGTACAGGCATGTAAGATATAAGCATCTATAGGCGTGTGGGATATAACCATGTACAGGCATGTAAGATATAAGCATCTATAGGCGTGTGGGATATAAGCATGTATAGGCATGTAAGATATAAGCATATATAGGCCTGTGGGATATAAGCATGTATAGGCATGTAAGATATAAGCATCTATAGGTGTGTGGCATATAAGCATGTATAAACTTGTATAAGCATGTAAGATATAAGCATCTATAGGTGTGTGGGATATAAGCATCTATTGGCATGTAAGATATAAGCATATATAGGCCTGTGGGATATAAGCATGTATAGGCATGTAAGATATAAGCATCTATAGGCGTGTGGCATATAACCATGTATAAGCATGTATAAGCATGTAAGATATAAGCATCTATAGGCGTGTGGGATATAAGCATGTATAAGCATGTAAGATATAAGCATATATACTGTAGGCATGTGGGATATTTTTAGCTGTTTGAAGTATAATCATTATAATCATTGTTAAGCTCTTGCCCAACAACATTTGGATGATAGCTACTTGTACTTCATGAAAGTGTATAATACTTTCATCAACATTATAGGGGCAAGGCACCGTGAGCAAAAGACGTGTCAGCATTAAATTGTCACCTGTGATTTGTTCAAAGTTTGGGTAATCAACTCATAGAATGCATCTAGTTAATATATTAGCTTGGATGCTTATTTTTATTGACCTGAATTTAACTTCCATTAGCGTGCAGCTTGTGTTGCCTGCTAGTTTTTATAAAGGTCAGGTTGTGAATAGGGCCTAAGTTGTGCTGCTCCGACAAACAATTGCTGCTCAGTGTGTTTGCACCTGGTAATTGCTGATATATTTGTTCCAATTTTTGGCATGTTTGATTCCCCCCAAAAACAAGATTAAAATAAACGTTTTTGTGAACTTGATTATTTTGTAAATTCTGTGAGATATTCCCTAGTGATGTGAATATTGGCAGAGGTTCAGCGCTGATTGTTGAGTTATGAGATTAGTTCGAAAGGTTATGTCGCATTCAATAACACTGTGTGGCGAATTTAATCCATTTCGAAGTCGCTATGTCCTGATCTCTGCTAAAGGGGAACATTTCTCCTTCAGGCCTGGACGATGGTATTCTGGGTGTGTCAGCTGGGGCTCCTGTCTCTAGTGTTGCAGGCGTGGTAAGTGTGCACATCTCCAAGTCAGACTGGTGGAGGTGGATTTGTCATTAAGATTAAGGGAAATTAACTGTTGCAGCTTTATTTTGCTTCTGGTGGGAACAGACACAAGCCTTAGAATTCAGAATAACTCAGAGAATTGTGTGTATCCATGTGATGTCTTTGGTTTCCTATTTGCATATATTACATACGTGTTTGGGCAATTCACAGAATCAAATTTTCTGATAATGTGCTTATCCGCACACGCTCCCCTGCAGCAAGAGGGAGTTTAATGCATCTCTGAGGTATGACAATAACAATCGACCTTGGACGGCACCCTTTGGCGTGACCCTCCGGGTGATTTTCAGTGAATGCTAAGTGCATTTCTGTCAGATGTAGTTACTTGTTAGATGTCTGAAGGAGGGAAAGACACAGAAAGGTCAAGCCTTAGAGCACTGAAAGGAGCAGAGCTCAGGAAAACATCAGCTGGGCTGGTCTTCCCTCTGGCAGCTGTGAGGCACCTGTGACCTGCCAGTGGGCCCCCTTTGGAGACTGGTCTGAGTGTGACGGCTGCACGAAAACCCAGGTGTGACTTCGAAGGGGCTTCGCTCACATGACGGAAGTACTGTATGTCCAAACAAACATGGCATGTCGGCGAATCACATAGGTTCTTAGGTAGCCTCTTATATTACACGTCATACCGCTAAGACTTACATGTCTGTACCAGAGTAATCGTACTATTAAATCTGTCAGAATTAAAACAAGAATGTCCACTAATTGAAATTGTCATGTATCGGGAAGGACAGAAACAAAGGCAGGTGTGGGGAAAAGGAGGAGGGCTTTATTTATACAAAACACAACAAGTAGGGGGAAAGGAAAAGGACCATGAGGCGTCAAAATGGGGTAGGGTGAATCAGGAGAGAAGACTGGGCACAGGGCAAACTGGGGAGCACAGGCAGGCAGCAGGATCACACATGTTACAATACAATGACCGGACTGGGGAGCTCAGGACGAGGAGGCACTATATACACCACAGATGAGGGAGCAGACGAGAGGCACCTGGGATCATCCACACGAGGGCTGAAACGAGAGGCAGAGTTAAACGAGGAACAGGTGTGCGCAGGGCGACAGAAATGTAGGGCTTTAAATTATTATACCTCACAGTAGCTCATAAGAAAATGCAATAAAAACTCAGCTGGGTTTTACTTGACAAAACGTATGTAAGAGTAGGGGGGACTGTTTCCGATTTGAAATAGTGACATGGATGAAACTGCAGTCAGTATTACTGATACCACTTTCTTTTCTTGGGGGGGGGGGGGCGTGTAGGTGCGGACGCGGCCGGTGCAGGTGTATGCCCAGTTCGGGGGCATGCCGTGCTCAGGGGAGTCCGTGCAGTGGCAAAGCTGCAATGGCAGAGGCTGCCCCCTGGAGGAGGGCTGTGGGGAGCGTTTCCGCTGCAGCTCAGGTGGAGCATCATTCTTTAAGAATAAATTTGCTTCAATATTTTCTCGATTTTGCCAGATACATACCACTACCCATCGAGCAAGTTTTATAAGACATTCAGTGGATATTTACTGATACTTGGAGCTTAAACGTCTCAGTTATCCCTTCTCATGAAATAAGTTTGACACCTCTGACCATTAACTTCCTTAACTAATATGCCCCCTGTTCTCCCACAGACCCATACTGGTTTCCGATTTACATATATTACATACGTGTTTGGGCAATTAACAGAATTGAATTTTCTGAAAATGTTTTGTGAACATTTGTGCTTCTGTGTTTTGTTGTGAAAGATTAGCTAGCAGACTCATTTATTTAACAAAATCACTGTGCGTACCAGGGCAATGCATCAGCTCCGCCTTGGTCTGCAATGGAGACCAAGACTGTGAAGAGGACGGTTCTGATGAGCAGAACTGTGAGGAGTCCACTGGCACCAGGGTGTGTGACATGGAGCGGGTTCCCCCCAATGTCGAGCTCACTGGAAGAGGGTATGTTCAAGTACCCTCAGTTACCCCCAATTCAGAGATGACCAGTGAAGGTTTAAGTACCCAAAATTCCCCCCAGTGTAGAGTTCACAAGTAAAGGGCAAGTTACAGAATTACCAACTAGACTAGTTTTGTGCATCAAATATAATTTTACAAACATTTTCTGGATTCAATTGACAGTTTAGATGAATGACAGGTAATGCAATAAATATTTCGGCTCTTACAGTTAGCCAGTTAGCTAGCAGCAAGAGCTCATTATATTTGTAGTTTTATTTTTATCATTTTGCTTTATCATTAATTTCACTTGGATAATCAACCAACAAATCACAGATATCTTCTTGGTATCTGCCAGGTTCATGCAGTATTTAATTGGTACACGATTGATTTACATGTTTACTCTGTATATCAGTAGCACATTATATGGTATAATACATTTTTACAACCAAGTTAATGGATTCATAGGCAATAAATAATTACCAAAAACACAGCGAGAAAAGTAGCATTCCCTGAATTCAGGCTCGCCGTTGTCATATCCCGATCATTCCGACTCTCCCGTGAGCCACACCCCCTCATTTACCTTGTGTGGAATCCTCTTGTTATCAGCTGTTTCTAGTTGTGTTGAATTAGTTCAATGAATTTAAGTGTGTTTCCGTGAACGTTTCCCCAGTCCGGTCATTAACGCCTTAACCTCATAAGGTTAGTCCTGTTTGTTGCTTCGTGTTCCCGAGTTTGTTTCTCCCCCAATAAATGCTACGTTTACCCGAATCCCTGGACTCCTCCTCCTGCTTCCCGGCTCCATACCTGCACGTCATGACAACCATGGTATTTCTACATGCCTACTCAGTGTGGCTTCTGATTTTGCAGGTTCGATATTCTCACTGGTTTGCTAAGGGGCAGTGTGATCAACACAAAGAGCTTCGGTGGTCAGTGCAGGAAGGTATTCAGTGGCGACCTGAGGTCCTTCTATAGGCTGCCCAGAAGCCTAATCAGCTATACCTTTCAGGTCAGCCTCTCTAAATATGGACCTTTTGCTTTGAAGCTTGATTTGCTTTGCTGCTGTGTTGCCCTATCAGTTCTGAAATATGACTAGGGATCTTCTCTGGGCCAGTCCTTTCCTTTCAAGGTACTGAAGATAAACTGAGTCATTTAATTAACCATAACATAGATTTGCTGGTAGGAAATTCATTCCTGTTATTTATTATAACTTTTATTTTTGTTGTCCAGGTCAGGACTGATAATGATTTTAGTGATGAATTTTACAGCAGCTACTGGTCCTATGTTAAAGACATCGATAAAAGATCAAAGTCAAACCAAGGACACCATTATGAGACATTCCATAATGAAGAGCTTATAACAAAGGTATGGCAGTATGGCTGCATTCTACTTAATGGTCTTCAAGCTCATTGGTAGGGTGGTTGACAGTCAGACTTTCACACCAGGCCCACAGGATGATGGTGATCAAGAACCAGGTGGAAGTGGCTCAGTTCCAGAACTCTCCACCCGAGTACCTGACCCTGTCCGAGGAGTTCTGGAAAGCATTAGCCTCCCTCCCCACCACCTACAATTACCCTGCGTACCGCAAGCTCATCGACGACTATGGAACCCACTTCCTTTCCGAGGGCTCACTTGGGGGACGGTACCAGGCCTTGCTGTACCTCGACGCAGAGACCATGAAGACAATGAGTGGGTCTATTACCTCTGCTGAAGCTGCAGTATTTTTATATCTGTGAACTATGTCTCTTTTTATGGAATTTGTACATGATCCTCCCATGCAACCTCTGTCTATTGCACTGTGGTGGTGCTTATTGCAGGAATCATAGGGCACGAGGCAGGTGACACCCTGGATGGAATGGCAATGCATTATTGGACACAAATACACACACTATACACAACAGAGCATTTGGAGGAAACCCACATGCAAACACTTGGGTGAGGTAGCAGTGCTACCTACTGAGCCACAGATACCAATATATACATATGTAGCATGCAATCCTGTCATGATAATGCTGAACTTTGATATGATGTGAACAGGTTTGTGGATCATGGTGTTGATCTAGGACACCTGAAGGTTAACTGACCAAGGATGCAGTACCATTAAATAAAATAGGCAGATTTTGTAATAGCTGGATTTGTGATTCCTTAAATAGGACTGACAGGAATCTTGTCGTGCTTGGTTGTGCTTATTTTATGTAAACAGAGGTCTAGTTTTGCCTTTTATAATATATCTTCCATTTTCATTTGGCTGCATTGTACTGCTTGCATAGTGGTTAGACCTGTCACCTCACAACTCGAGTGCTGGGCGTCTGAATTTTCCCTTTTGTGAGTGGAGTTCATACTTTCTCCTTGTGTTCATATTGATTTCCTGCTAGACCAATGAGAAATGTATCTGTAAATTGCCCTTAGTTTGTGCGTGCACATTGCCTTGCTATGCCGTCCTGACCTGGGTGTCCACTGCCTTGGGTCCTGTGCTTTCTGACATGAACTCCAGATCCACCATCACCCTTTACTAGATTAGCACCTAGGCATGGATAGATGTTCTTCATTACTCCTTTAACTGTTACTAAATCAGATACTAGATTGGCACACATTTAAAACATTTAAAAAGTTTTTTTTCATTTTCTCACTGTTATCAAAGGTTCAACCAGCAGCGATTTCCATGAATGCATAACCAAAACACGCAGGTTTCTGTTCATCAAATGGAGCACGACCAAGTGCAAGACCTTCGTAAATGCATTCAAGCAAGTCAATGGTAAGGCATAAGCAATGATGTTGTTCGATAAAAAACAAAACATTACCTATCTGTGTCTAGATTAATAGGCAGAATAATACATTCTCAAAAGACATTTCTTTGAAAACTACTTATATTCCACTGTGAAATCAGAAACAGCACATTAGCATTGCCATGTTTACAGGATTTTGAGTGTTGATGCAAGAAAATTACATTTTATTTGTATTTCATAAAATGGAAGGAAGACAGTGGCTGACCAACCATTTTTTTTTTTAAGGATTGAACAAAGTAGAGAAGTTTGCACAAAGCCCCATCACGGGGGGAAGCCCTGCTTTCATTGCTGGGCTCAGTATGCTTAATTTGGAGGACCCCGACGCTAACTGGAACATGTACACCAAGTGGGCGGGCTCTGTGAAGGACTTCCCCACGGTCATCAACCAGAAGGTGAGCCACAGGTGCAGCACGGGGCAGCCTCTAAGCCAGGGACACCCGAATGAAAAATACAATTAAATTAAAATACTATATAGTGTCCTTGGTGGGTGGTGTTTGAGGCGACACAATAGGTCATGTGACCTGAATGTTCCCCACCCTCCCCCATTACCCCAAACCTGAGATTAATTACTAAGAGTTAAGGAACTAAAGATTTTTGGTTCCAGCTTAAGTTGGGCCTGCCTGAATATTTTAAAAATACCAACATTCACCAGTTTGGACCCTCAGGTTCTCTGCGCTAATCAGCATCAGGTGGCATCAGGTTTCCAAGGGGCATGATGGGATAGAAGCTGCTGCTGCACCAACACATAGATGCGTACATGCTGGACATGTATTTCCTTTAATAAATAAACAGATTCAGGCCGCAAATATTATATTATGCTGCAAAAAATTAATGCCCCTACCAATTAAAATGTAAAGTTATGCAAAGGGTTATGCAACTTGTTTTTCCTATGTATAATGCGTGCCATTTTTTGTTTTCTGATATATGAGAACGTATACAAAGGGGAGATTATAAAATATTTGGCATGGAACTGTGCTCTCAGTAGTTATTTAATAGTAATGAATTGGGAGGGTAGCCAGATGTTTAGCGTGATTGCTTTGCTCCTGCCCAGTGGCGGTGTGAGACCCCCCTGCCTTGTCTCTTCTGAATACCTTAGCTGAGGCCTCTCCATGAGTTGGTGAAGGAGGTTCCGTGCTCCGGCATAAAGAAGCTCCACCTGAAGAGGGCCCTGGAGGAGTACCAGACACAGGAGGACCCGTGCCACTGTCAGCCCTGCCAAAACAACGGGCAACCGCTGCTGAGTGGCACCATCTGCAGCTGCGTCTGCAAGCCAGGCACGTCGGGCTCTGCCTGCCAGCACGGGACTCCTGTGGAGGATGGGCCAGGTATGGAGAGGACTGCCGCAGAGCACTGCTACCGCTTTGCCTCCAGTACCTTTCCGTTTCGGAGGGTACGATGAAGAGCACTGCCACTGCTTTACTGCCGCTACCTTTCCGTTTCGGAGGGTACAGTGAAGCGCACTGGCACAGCTTTACCTCCACTACCTTTCTGTTTCGGAGGGTGGTAACTACCCACGACATCTGGATCTAATCTGCTGCCAAGGATGATAAACTATTTGGACAGATTTGGAACATTTATTTTGCTAACTGAATTAGTGTGATTTTATTACAATTTCCAGTACTGAACCGGAGGTGGTGTATGTTACTCTCGTCAGAGCACTCGAAACCTCGTCCTCTTGTGTAAGAATTCACTGTCTCACAGTCAATATTCTAAAACAATTTTTGAGAGGATCAAAAGAAAAAACAATCAAAGAAAAATGCTAAGAGGAGAGGAACTAGGTGACTCAAGTGTCTTTCCTGAACCTCAAGATCTCCCGCATCGATATACTCTTGGTACATCATATATTACATAAAATATGATACTCTTAACCATTACATTAATGCAGACAGTGCAACAGTGCTGTAACCTCTCAGAAAAGAGAAGCCCGTGTGATCACTAGGTGCCCACTCCCAAAAGTATTGGGACACCTGGCTATTACACCAACAGGAACTTTTACGACATCCCATTCTAAATCCACTGGAATCAATATGGAGTTGGTTCCCCTTTTGTGGCTATAACAGCTGCCACTCTTCTGGGAAGGCTTTCAACTTGATTTTGGAGTGTGTCTGTGGGAATTTCTGCCCATTCATCCAGAAGAGCATTTGTGAGGTCAGGCACTGGTGTTGGACGTGAAGGCCTGGCTCACATTCTACGTTCTAGTTCATCCCAAAAGTGTTTGATGGGATTGAGGTCAAGGCTCTGTGTGGGCCATTCAAGTTCTTCTACACCAAACTCACCCAACCTTGTCTTTATGGACCTTGCTTTGTGCACTGGGGCGCATTCATGCTAGAACAGAAAAGGGCCTTCCCCAAACTGATCCCAAGTTAGAAGTATAGAATTGTCCAAAATTCAAGGGGCAAAATCATAGCCCAACCCCTGAAAAACACCCTCATACCATTATCCCTCCTCCACCAAAATTTGCAGTTGGCACAATGCAGTCAGGCAGGTAATGATCTCCTGGCATCTGCCAAACCCAGCCTCGTCCATCAGACTGCCAGACAGAGATGCACAGAACACGTTTCCACTGCTCCAGAATCCAGTGGTGGCATAGTTTACACCACTCCATCGAAGATTTGGCGTCGCACTTGGGGTGATATGAGATTACATGCAGCTGCTTGGTCATGGAAGCCCATTCCATGAAGCTCCCAGTGCACAGTTTTTGTGTTGGGGTTAATGCCAGAGAAAGTTTGGGACTCTGCAGTTACTGGGTAGACAGAGTGTTGGTGACTTTTACACACTACAGTATGTGCCTTAGCATTTGGTGACCCCGCTCTGTTATTTTACATGGTGTTTCTGTTGTTCCTAAACACTTCCACTTCCAATAATACCACTTACAGTTGCCTGTGGAATATCTAGCAGGGAAGAAATTTCATGAAGTGAAACTAATTGCAAAGGTTGCATCCTATGACAGTACCATGCTTCAATTCACTGAGCTCTTCAGAACGACCCATTCTTTCACAAATGTTCGTAAATCTGACAGCATGGCTAGGTGCTTGATTTTATACACCTGTGGCAATGGGTCTGAATGAAACACTCGAACTTAATGATTGAGAAGTCTGTGCCAGTACTTTTGTCCATATCGTGTAGGTATGTTTACAGAAGCAAGTGACCATGTTCACTGATACCAGGATAAATGTGTTTCATTAGTAACTTTTTTCAGTCCAAATCTCAGCCAGACCCATGTTTGAGGAAGCATGCACTAGGATGCTGTTTCTGTGACAGGAACGTGAGGCACTCACTCACACAGACCCTGCACACGCATTGCTGGGAAGCCCTTCATAACCTATTACCTATATGTAATGAACAACCTGCAGCATAATCATAATGAATAAATGTTAAGCACAAAGTAAATTTCAGATCTTTATGAGTAATAATCCCATTTAATAACGAGTCACATTTAAGCATGATCAATATAAATCCACAAATAATAAGTGATTAGTCTCAGATCATTTATATAAAATGTAACATTCCACACCACCAAAATAGCTATTAATAAAAGCATAGATTGATGGCTTCCACCTCCCACAATGCTCTACACTCTGAAAGGTAGAGACACTGATTTTCCAGCCACGCTTTTAATCACCAATGTATGTGAGTGTAGTATACCCCACTGTGGTATATCCTAGTATGGTAAATCCTGAAGTATAGTAAACTGCAGTAGCACCACGGTATATTCAACCAGGCAAGATTTCACATTAAGTACATATATGATTATGATAAGGGCACATGTGTAAATTATATTAATTCTGGTCAAAGGTGTGATCCATGGAGACTGGACTTGCTGGTCTGCCTGGAGTTCCTGTTCCCAAGGTCAAAGGTCGAGATCTCGGACATGCAGCAATCCACATCCAAATATGGGAGGTAAGGCCTGCAGTGGCCTAGCAGTGGAGCACACAGCTTGCGAGGACGAGGACCTTGAACATCTGCGGTAAGAACGGCTGCTCAATCGCAAACATCGAGAGCATTTATCCACTGTTAAATACTTAGCAGTTATCTAACAAGTGCTTCTTATAAAAATACTGTGCTGAAATGAAGTAACAAAACCTTTCTAAAAATGAAAATGCGTGTGGAAGAGAGTTTAAAGTATGCAAGTCTGGTCATTATGTATGTTTTGTTGTGCATTTTTTTATAGTACAATGGAACCTCATTGTTTTGATTCATCTCTTTCACCAACAAAGTCTTGTAAGAATCCACCTCATTTAAGAAATGGGTTTGTGCTGGTAAGAATCACTTCATCTATATGAGCTTTCAACTTGAACATTTTCAAAATATTGCTTCAAGCCGCATCTGTTTTTTGACCACTAACCAAAGTCCTTGTTCCCATTTATTTATGCATTTTTTTGGCTTGTGGATTAGTTTCATTCTGACCACAAAGTTATGCTCATTGCGGACATGACCCACAGTGTGCAGAGTACAGGAAATTCCAGACGTGTTGCAGATCCAAGGGGGCTTGTTTTCAAATGCAGGCCCCAAACGACGTCTATCCAGTTGGAAGTAAGATTGTGTACTCCTGCATTGAGGGATACCACCTTCTCGGGGATGCAGTGGCAGAATGCAGCAAGGACCTGATGTGGATCCGCTCAAAGCAGGAATGCAAGAGTAAGGAGTATGCAAATCTGTTCAAATGCAACATAAACACACAAACAAAACCATATTTAATTCACTCAAATCTCAGTGGCTACTGAAGTATCTGTTCAGCTAAATGTGTGATCTTTATGAACAAAAAGCTTTATTATTTATCACACTGTGTTTTGAAAATGTCAGAAAAACATTTTGAGTGTTGAGAATTATTGGCCTGGTTTTGCGGTTGATGCAATGTTATTATATAAAAAATGTATGTTCCATTCATCAAGTGATATCATATCCCTAGGCACTGCATGTGGGCCACCACAGCTTCTGCATGACGTGACAGGCAGCCCCTGGAAACTGACCTATGAGATCGGAGAGGCGATAACGTTGTCCTGCCCACCGGGAAAACAGCTGGAGGGCAACTCAGAGATCCTGTGTGATTCTAGTCTGAACTGGTCACCGCAAGAAACCGCACGGTGTAGCACATGTATGGCAGGACACAGCTACTATGCATTAGCCCGGCTATCCAGGAAACATATAGAAAATAGCAACGAAACACAAGGATGGAATTGCTGTTCCTTCCTATCTGCATTCAACTGCTTCACTAATATAATACATTTATTTAACCAATCATCTTCTAGATGTGTCCTGTAAGGTTAACAGAACCCTATTCATGATCTAGTCACTGATATTACAAAAACAACGGTTTTTATTCACTTATTATTTGTTATTATTTTAGGTTATTATTTGTATTACAAATACAGTCCAGCACAAGAGAAGAAGAAATTTGGTGGAAAAAAAAAATCTAAGTAATTCTTATCATGCATGCATTCACAAAATAACTAATACATGTATATTTTTTCTTCCAGTACCTACAGAAGCCGTACGGACAGTTGTGCAGTGTGAGCCTTGGGAGAAGCTGGCAAAAGACAAATGTGTCTGTAAAATGCCTTACGAGTGCAAGTGAGCTTCATTCCACCTTGTCATCTATGTATTGGTTCCTGGACAAAAATAATTGGACAGCGTGTCCACTGAGACCAGCAGGAGGCGATATAGAGGTTCAAGAAATGGTATCGTGGCCTAAATTCTGAAAGTTCAGGCATCTAATGGTGGCAGTAACCTGAGCGAGCCCTGAAGGAGGAGAATGGTCCATTTTTGAGTATAAATGAATGTTTCTAGGTCCTCTTTGGAAGTGTGCGCGCGGAACCAGCGGGGATCGGCGGACCGACTGACCATTTGTAAGATGCAGGCGCTGAAGTGTCTGGGTCGGGAGTATGACCTGGCCGAGGACTCCGCCTGCACGCGGGCCTCCCCTAAAGCGGCATCCTGTCCTGACTGCCAAATGTGGGAGACGTGTAACGGTACATACCACTGCAGCATCAACGCAGGGCCTGGGATGTGACAGACTTGTGGTGACATGTTTCTGTATGCTCTAATTACCTAGTAGAATAAGATCAGTTCAGCAAAAGGACCAAGTCTACCTAACCGTATAGGAGAGTGGTTGAATATAGCAGCTGACACTGAAGATGCTAACATGCTAATGCTAAAATCCTCTGTTATTGATGGAATTTCATATTTAAATGGGCATTTTTAGGACATTGGATGGGAGTGGAAGCGTCATTGTCATGCTTGGTGGTGGGATTTAAAGTCAGCATTTGAATAGCTCAGCTGCTGGCCTGTAATTTACGTGACCCATTAAACAATGTTCCCATTTCAGAGCACACCAATCTGTGCGTGTGCCGGGAAACTGGGAGCTGCTCAGAGACGGGGTCCCTCGTATGTGCCAGGACCGGGGAGGGAGCCCCTGCCGTGACGATGACGGAATGCGAGGCGGCGCTGAGGAGGTGCAGGAAGGAGACGCTCATTGTAGTGAGCCTGCAGAAATGTGACTCTTGAGGCTTCTTCGGAAATAAGCCAAACTTATTTTCATAAATGAAAATACTTCATTATGTTTCAAAATCCTGATTTATAAACATGTACCTGGCTTTGTGGTAGCATGAGCAATTAAGTGAGAATATGCATATAAAATAAAGTAGAAAATGCCAGTCTCGTGTTTAACATCAATGCCCAGGCAAGGTTGAAAAGGCTTTGCTACCTATCACCCTCAGCCACACATCAGGCTGAGATACAGTTGCAGCCTGACTGCTTAGTGTTTTGGTCCCCTGCGCTGAGCCCCCACCAGAACCAGGACCAATAACATCCCTCAAAGCGCCTCACTGTCAGGATAATGCGCCGTGCCTGTGTGCACCCTGCAGATTACTGTTTGCCCGTTAAACACTGACCAGGACCCAGAACCTAGTGGCACCGACACCTGAATTTAGATGATAGGGCTGTTTAAGTGAAGTTTGTGTTTATCTTTGAGTACATAAGCGCGAGTCAGCTTTAAGCAGGAACGGAGAATCAAAAAATGCACAAGTATGGTAAAAATTCAGCACATAAGGCTAAGAGGAAAAAGCTGTATAATGAAAGAAATTTTATAGGTTAGAAGGATAAATTAAAACAGTCCTGCTACCATGATCCATCCATCCGTGAGAAACGCTAATCGCAGTCAGGTTCATGATGGTGACGCAATAATTCATCCATTTTCTAACTCTCTGATTCTGGTCAGAGCTAATGGGGTAAAACAATAATCCATCCATGTTTTATCTGCTCATCCTGCTTAATACTATTAATTTCTTTGAGGAGAATCAGAGCTGTTGAAAACAGTATCTATTACATGTATTACATGTGCTTTGTACTTCCCATTAAATTATCAGTCAATCCTGCTACAAACATATTGCTACGCGCTTATATTATGAACAGCATTTTGCAGGGATTTTGCAGTGCTGTGTCAAATAAGAAGCTCGAAATATCTCAGATAAGGAGAGACAGCGACCTCATGTGGCCAATTTTCCTCACTGCGACAAATTCACAGGCAAGAATATCACGTGTGAAGGAATATGGATCCAGAACAATGCAAGGGTAATACCTAATTAGGTCGTAAAAGTTATTAATAATTAAAGATTCTAATCGTGAAGAGTTACGATAACCTCCGCAAAATCCCTTCAATATCTCAACAAATATATATTCCCAACAGAATAGGCTAGTGGCTATAATTGTGATCAGTTTCATAGAACTATGTTTTTCTATGTTTTAAAATAATGCTTTTTGAAAATCCAAAATTCTTTTAAATAATTAAAACTAAAAACGTATTACTGCTGTCCATTCACTTTCCTAAACCATTTTTCCAGTGAGGGCTTGCGGTGACAATGGAGTCCATGCCTAAAAATGCAAGGCGTAGGTTACCTGTCTATAAAATTATTATTTTACTGTTGTTGTTCTTGTGTTAACTGTTTCTCTGTGAAAATACATTAGCACTGCTTTACTGGAATGGGTACAAAAGTTTCAAATAATTGTGTGGGAATTGTGTGTTTTTTTCCTGAATAATTGTGTGTAAACTGCATGGTTTGAAAAAGCATCAGTCTTGCACGCCAGAATGAGTTACCCATGGTGCAGATATTGTGTGAGATGATAAAATTAATTATAGCAGAAAAAATGTGTTTGATTGCAAGAATCTGACAAGGGCTGAGGAATTAAACATGCAGCCACTCTGGGGCAAATGTCACCCCCCCACCCCACCCCACCCCACCCCTGCAAGCTCTCCCCAGACATTTCTGAAGTCACTGGACCAGAACAGAGTGCTTAAACAGCTATGCGTCTTCACTGCATCTGGAATCATGCTGAGTTCGCCCAAAGCATGAAGATGGCCCTCTCTTTAGATCCATCCCATATGGTCCAGATACACATACTGTATCAGTCATGATTAGAAAACTCCACCAGGCCTCCGTACAGTATCTTGTTCTAGGGTTGCTTTGGCTTTGGTGAAATATCTCTCAGAGACTGAGAAATGTGGCACACAGTTTCACTCCCTGCTAACCGTTAAATTCCCAGAATGCATCAGGGCATTTACACTGGTGACTTGTTGACAAGTTATCAAAAGGTCACTGAACTGGTAAACAAATGTCATATGCTTAAGAAGCTGCGACCACTACCCATATTTTGAAAAAAAAAAAAACACAAGTTAATGATAATGTTAATTACCCTGCCAATGTTGTCTGCAAAGAATTTAACAGCGTAAGGATGTGGTTCTTATTTAATGCACTTAAGGTGAGCAAGAAACAGATGGACTTCTCATTTTACGTTGCACTGTTTTTGGAACGCTGCCCTCGGCTTGTTTCATCTGGACGCTTCCTGCTCCTGTCTGGCAGGCAAGGTGAGCACATTCTCCGGGGGAGAAGGGAGAATGACAGGATGTCTATGGCAGGCTGATTCAGAGGGTGTATGTGCAAGTACGGCGTGGGCAGAAATGCTCCTCTAAAATCACTGCGGTCTCAATTCCAAAAGAATCAAGATGCCAATGCAGAAAACACAGGACACAAAGTGATTTCATTAAAAAAAGGTTTATTAACAATGTAAAATGGTCTATAACTTCATTCAACTTAAAATGTCATTACCTTCTGCATGCCCTAAACACTTAGCACTATAATTTATAAGCAAAAACCATGCTGTGCCTTTTCAGTCTGGATGTATAAGCCGAATGGGGAGCCCATCAGGTTATATTGACCAAAATAAGCCACCATAAAAATAAAGAAGTATGTAATGCTAAAGAGTGTGTTGCCATATATACTTCTACACATATATATGTATACAAATATGGCACATATATCTGCAGAAGTTTTTTATTTATATACTATGGTATATTTTAAGTGCAAAGGCTTTGTAGATGTATTGTATAGCATCATTGAAGTCGAAAAGTAATGTGGGGTACAGGTTTTTCGGTATATGGAAGACTAAATTATATATAAGTACTGTTACAGGACTAGAAGAGAAAAAGAAATTAGTGCAGGTCTTTCGTAAAAGCTGTCTAATTATGTGAGACAATACATAGATACTGCCAATAGGAGCTAGTTTGGTAGTAGTTTTCATTTGCTTCTAGACCCTTACGTCTGGCTCTGACAGGTGTAACATACACAGATGTTTTCTCAGTCTTGCCGTTGGTGAAGAGGATCCATTCTAAGAGAAGCTCTCAAATTAATTGTTAGCTATTAAGCAAGATATCTGTGGTTATTATGGAGTAAAAGGTAAAAACCTATATTATTTCATCTGGTTATGTTGCCTACTAACAGATCAGCAGTAGTTTAATTCCACTTACAAATTTGGAAATAACTGTTAAAAAGCATCATAAACAAAATTAGAATATATATGTTTGTGACTATTAATCATTTTTTTTTAAAGAATTCCTTTTTTATCACAAAATAAAGCTAGAAAATGGGGCAGCTTTTTCAAACACATAAATGTTTTGGATATGGCAGTAATAGTTTTGGGGGACACAAGTGCTCAGGGATTATGGGTAATGTTCACACAATGCTCTTGTCTCCTTTTCCCTACTGTAGATAGTGAGGAGACTCTTAGCTGGACACCAGGCAGCACAGCCCCAAGAAGCGCTTCTTCCTCTGTCGGACCAGGGGGTACGGAGTGAGATTGAGCAGACTGCTGTCATCTGTGTCACATAGGAGACAATGCAAGGTGGCCCTTCAGCACATGGAAGTCTAGATATGCTATGCTAATGTGCGATCATAACATGATGGTTGCTGGTTCAAGTCCCACTATAACTGTGGAAGCAGGGTTAGGTAATCAGGAGGATAATAATGCATCCAAAACTACATACTATTTTGTTTAATTAGCACTTACGTCTGCTTTTTTCTCAACTGAATAAGTCAGGATTGCCTTGGTAAAGCCAACAAAAGCTTTCAGACCAACATACCTTGATTCTTCAGCGGCAAAGGCATGGATTCCCTGAGTTTGCTAAGTAGGTTCTTCATCTCCCTCATGTCCCTGTGCAGGCATTAAACCAAGACGGCCATGAGACGGACACATCTAACCCAGATCAGTCACATTTCTACAGTGCCACGAGATTCATGGCCATCTGATCAAGTCATGTGACCTTATGCGGGCGGGTCCTGTCCGTGGGTGGGTTCTCACAGACTGATTGCGAGGTTCCCTGAAACGGCTGCTGTTCTAGCGCCACCAGAAGTTTCAACACTGAATCGCATGCTTATTGTTACACAGCAATTAGCTCGCATGCTAGATGAAGGGCACTTTCTACTTTAATGCAGCACAGCTGACATGCAGGAGAGAAAACCGTGGTGTGGAACCCCTCCTAAAGTGAAAAAGTGTGTGAGACGCCCACTTCATTTTCTGTTGCTGTCTCCAGTGAAGATAATCCGACTGGTTAAGCGATGTGTTGCAAATTTAGTGGGAGCTGCACCGGTTTGTCTGCCCTTGGATGGAGGTGAGAGTATTCATGAAAATCCTTGCATTTTAAATGAATGTCTTTGCTAATCTGATAGGATGTGCGGCGTCAAAAGCGAGATTGTGGACAGACGCACGCTGGTCACCCCCCCGCAGGAGCCCGGCTCCGAAAGCACAGCTGTCAGCTGCAAGTCACAGGTCACCATCTGATGGAGCCACGACTGGAGACACTCACTGTCCCATCGACGGACACTGACCATGAGAAGCGGTCACCAGCCGGGGCTGGAGCCTCTACTTATATGCTAGGCATTCCCATGGTTTTGCAGAAGGGCTGATTAATTTACATAAATAAACTATACATTTCCATTTTTTTTACAGTTCCTCAGATTTGCATCTGAAAAAAATGGAAATGGTTCAACTTATGAACTCGCTGATCAAATTGCCAGCAATCCTCCCCACCAACTTGGCCGTTTTATCGGCCCATGAAATTTTTGTACGCCACCAACCAGTCTGCCAACATCAAAATGTTGGGAATCTCAAATGTATACACTGGGGCACCACGTCTAGGTCCTGCCGTTATTTAGTTCTACATCAATCACCTTTTTGCTGTCATCACCCTTTGTCCCAAAGAGCACAGACCTCATTTCAGTTAGACGCGTGTGTGTGTGTGTGTCTGTGTTTGTATGCATATACCTTGAGAAACAGCCAAAAACAGAGCTTTGCTTTCTAATGATCAGCAAAAAAAAAACCCATCTGATGGAAAAGGACTTGGGAGGTATCTTGCCTGGTTCAACAAGAACAGCAGTTTGCTAACAACACAAAAATCACAAGTTCAAATTTCAGGGAGTGCAAAAAAATGGTACCCTTTCCCTCTATTGTGAGTCGCTTTGGATAAAGACGCGAGATAAATGTAAATAAATGCTACGCATGGCGTCTCAAACAAAAACACAGAATGACACAAGCCCCCCAGGTCAACAAGCATGACGGCTTCCAGGTGTGACGGCTCCTACCTCTCCGTGTTTTCGACATCTGTGGAGACCAGCCAGCAGTACTGAGGGCAGTCCACCGGTGAGGAGGACGTGTCCTCCAGGATGGGGATGTCAGAGCTCTCATCCAGCTTGCAGTCCACCCTGGGGGTTGTGTGGGTCTCCTTTCCTGGTGATATACACACAAAACGACAGGCTATTTAAACTGGTAAAACTATAAAACTGGGAGGCATGCAAGCCGTACCCTCCTAATGGCAGTATCCATATGGAAAATACAGTTAGTATTCAGCTCTTGAGAGACTTTGTTGAAATTTTTTCCTCAATCCCCCCTTAAAATACAGGAATATTTTGTGGAGATCAATTGACAGATAACTGATGAATAAAAACTGCCCTGCCTCTTCACATGCACTTCAATGTTCAGGAGAGGAGTAGAGAAGTCACATATTGCAGCTTTGATCTGATTGAAGGATCTGTTAAAACAGGGGTGGCCAATCTTATCCAGAAAGGGTTGCCATGTGCTGGTTTTCGCTGCAACTCCATAGTTAGATTACTAATCAAGGGACTGATTGGTCAAAGAGTTCTCGTACTGTGTTTGAACAGCTGATCTAAAGGTTAAAAACCTGCATACACATAAAATTGTATCGAATGAACAGCAAGGGTCTTGGTGGACTCTAGCCAGGTCAAGACAGGGCCGTGGTGATGCACCTTTCCTGTGGATCTGGAGCGAGCCCAGCAAGCACACAGACTTGAGCATCTCCGTGATGTACATCTCCAAGCAGCACTGCAGCTGGATGAAGAGTCTGCAGATCTCTGGGTGGATTTCCCCGTCCTCAGGGCTGCAGGGGACACGTAGGGAATAAGTGGGGGCACATCGTGGCATGTTAAGGTACAGGGACACCCCCACTGTTTTCTCCAAGACAACCGAACCCCGATGATGAAAAGAAAATGCTCTGATGAACTTCCAGTGACCCACGACAGCCAATACTCATCGCGAGCAACTGCTCAGCAAAGCACTTCCAGTACTTCTTCAATTTCACTGAGGTCATTCATTGAGAGGAATCAATCTATCGATAGCATATTTGTTCATGAGCAAAAAGAAGGATAAGGCATTATGGCATGCTAAATTGGGGTCAGACCAAACAGACCATTCATCGGTCCAACCACTTATGCTGGTCAGGGCCCAGAGAGACTGGAGGGGCTGGTGACAGTACAGGGAACGAGGTACTGTAGGGTTACCCTCTAGATGACAGCCGATCACAGGGAACATGCATGCACGCATTAACGGCAACACAGAGACACCAATTAGCATTAGTGATTTTGTGGGGAGCATTCAAATTTGACCCCCCCCCCCAGCCACCCACCCCATAGAGATCAGAGCCCCACAGAGGCATCGTGTTACCCAAGAGACACCGATCAATGTAACCGAATTATTATGCAGCAAAAAGTAACACTTAAAGTGAATCATAGCGCCGGTTCTGAGAAGTTAGAAGGTTTGTATAAAACCCTTAAGTTCTTCTCAACTTTGGCTTGGCGTGTAACTGTCAGCTTTTACACACCTTAAATCCTTAGCTGGTTTTAACCATGGTGGTTCTTAATGGTCTCATTCCTAGTAGTCTATATTTTTTCTTCTACATAAGGATATGGATTTCACTATAATTATTATTGCTTATTTTAATTATGGGGGGTTGGCCAGTGGCTCAGTGGGGTTGGAGGCTGTGCCTGCAATGGGAAGGTCACTGGTTCAAACCACAAAGTCAGCTGAGTGATTTCTCCATTAAGCCCCTGAGCAACACCCTCAACCTTTAATTGCTCCAGGGACTGAGGGTCTGACCCTGCTGACTTATTTCTACCTTGATTTGGATAAAAGTGCCTGCTAAATGAATACATGTATTATATACAGCTCTGGAAAAAATTAAAAGACCACAGCAACATTTTTAGTTTCACTTATTTCTCGGTTTATGGGCATGCATCTGTGTAAAGCTCTTCAGCCAAGCTCTTCCCTGCTTCTCATTGATGAAGGGCTTCTTCCTTGCTTTAGGGGTCTTTAAGGGCTTCTAGGAGTCCTTGCAGTCCTAACTGTTATAGCAGTGCACTTCACACCACTTAATGTTTCCCATTCTTTTTGAAGGTCACTTGATATCATCCTCCGAATCATAAGGTACTACCAGATAAATTAACGGGCATTTCTGCCATTAGAAACTCGCTCCTGTCCTCTACCTGGCTGGTTTCTGGTCGTTCCCAGTGTCTCCTGCTTCACCGTATTCTTGTGTACTATGGTCTTAGAAACTTTGAGCCTGGAAGCAGCCTGCTGCTCAGCGTAGCTTCTGCCAGCAGAACCGGGATTAAACCAGGATTTAAAAATGCAGGTTTTTTTTAAAGTATAGAATCTTCATTTTTTTCCTGAGTTGTAAACAAGGATAGTTAAGCAGCAGTGGCCAGTACAGCACGTATACGGATGGCCTATCTGACACTGGTGGATAACAGTGACTTTTCTGAATAGCGAGATGTCAGAGCTTGTCCAGCACATGGTGAACTCCAGCACTGAAAAGCTTTACCGTTAGAAGACCACCAAGGACACCGCTGGCTATAAAGTCAAAAGTAAAGCGTCCCCTCGCAGAGCTCTGCCCGCCGCGCCAGATGGCGTGATGGAAAGACGCATCACCGCAAGCTTCTCCTCGTGATTAATGCTCGTGCGTGTGTCCTTAAAATGCAGAATACGCACACTGTCCGCCTCCTTATACATGTATGAAAGCGGCAGGTTCAAATCTCAGGACTGTTTTTAGCCAGAATATTCACCTTTTCATCTTCTAACCACTTACCCTGGTGAGGGTCTGGGGGGATGCCACGCCATTGTAGGCCACATACATACACACACAGTCATGCTCAATGGGTGATTCAGAGACGCAATTTAGCCTAAGCTGCATCTTTGGACGGCAGGAGGACCTGAAGGAAGCCCACTCAACATGGGAGAACATACAGACTCGACACGCCAAGAGTGGAGGTGGGATTCAAAACCCCAAAGGCACGGTGGCAAGGAACCAGTTACCTTCTGAGACACCACAGCACCCAGTTTAGCCTTTTAGCTTACGTTAAATAACCAGCTGCACTGAGGGCTTTTTTTAAATGCTACTGTACAACAAATATATTAAATATATAACGAAAAGAATGGTCTCTATCAGGTATCCAAAAATTAAGTGCATAAGGTCATAAATGCATATATGACATTAAGGAACTTTCTCAAAAAATTACATTTTGGTGCTGTATTTGAGTCTGTTTAAAAAACCAGAAATTCACATTGCTGAGACAACATGGAGGAATGCAAGAATAATCAGTATGAGAGGAAAATCGGAGAAGTCCAACTGGACAACAATGTCAGCTCTTTCATATTAATCGTGAATAATCAAGCCATAGACAAAACACACATTTATATCTATTCCCTAAAAGAGTATCTCTGCACACTTCTGCAAAATGCATTGCAGTTCATTAACAGATATTTCCTTTCATATGTTCCCTTATCTTAAAAGTACATTTTCCACCATTCGAGTCGTGGGCAGTGCAAACCGTGTCCGGAATAAAATGGACTCTGCAAAGCCACAACTCCGTTAATACAATGAACTTGCTAAGCAGAAGAATGACTCTGGCCTGGCAGAGTTCCCGGAGAGAACAGGAGGCGATGCATTGAGGCAGACCTACGAGGATGACTTACGCGAGGCAGAAAAACGAGGGCATGCCGGAAACGCCGCTGGCAAATGGCAGGGTTCCGCTGACTGGCGGCGGCTCGGGGTCTGTGCCGCGCGTTTCTCTATTAGCGCTGCGCTAATTTCGGTGTCTGGCTGCAGCTGGACATTGGTCACACAAGGAGAGTTAAGATGGAAACCTGCTATGCCGTCCAGTTTCACAAAACACAGAAAAATCAGAAAAAAACATTGGTTGTGTTAATATCACGAGCATGACTATGGTTGCATATGGGGCAATAAGCCGAAACAATCCATAACATTCACAGTATTTAATGTAAAGAACAGCTTCCATAGCTTTCGCTTTGTATCCAGCCTCCTTACATTTAAAAATAAGCAACAAATTGAAGTCATGACTTACTGGCCATCCTTCCCTGGACACACACATGCCTCGTGCCCTATCTTGCCTGAGACCCAAACTCCCCAACAACCCTGACCTAGAAAAGCAGGTAGAAGATGGATGAATAGAAAACCATGACTGAGAGGTTGCCTGGTGTAAATTTCGGAGAGAAGTGGATTGCCTAGTCTGACCTCAGTGCACACTGCATATATTTGCGTTACAGGAAAAACTCTTGAGATCGTTTGCATTTGTTTGACATGAACCGGCTTGTTTTACAAAGGAATCCTCACGAGAGGTTGCTGTTAATCACAAATCCACTGTTATTTATAGTAACTTTCTTTCTATTACTGCTCTTGAATACTCAGCAGCGATAATCCAAACTGTCACTCCAGGACCCAAACAAGAAAAGTCCTCTGACCAGCACGTGGAACGCGAAGCAAGGCTTCCTTCTCTGTGCCCAGTATGTGCGGCAGCGAGCAGGGAATGGACGTGCGGCAGAGACGGGTGACAGCTGAGACCTGGAAGGTCCGCTGGCTTTATAGCGAAAAGCAAACCTTGGGTATTCACGTGAACGATGAATCAGAGAGGGGCCGTCATCGTTTGCTTTGGGGTTGCGGGTCACTGGACACACCGAGCGGACAGAAAGCAAGCTGGCGTCTCGCTCGCTGTTACTGCTCCGAAGTTTTTTTTTTCCCCTTTCCCAAAAAAAGCATCACCAAAAAGAACATCTGTTTCCCTCAGTGAGCTAATCTAGTCTAGACAGATTCTGTCCTCCTCACACTACGGCTAGGGGTCAGCCCTATTTGTAGAACGCTACAGTGTCGGATAACGATCGCTATTACTCTTAGGGGCCCGAGTCATACTGCACAGCACAGTGGGAATGGCAAAATGAAATGGGCATGCTTTTTTAAATGCATGATAGTTGTCAAACACACTATCTAGCTATCTATCTATCTATCTATCTATCAAAACATTACACCTATTAGCATTTTGGGGTAGAAAAAAATAACCATTGTTACAAACAGGGATGGATTTTTCCTGAATTGCTTCTACGTGTATACAAACCCACTGAATATTAATTCTTAAACATAAATTGTTATACATCTGGGATGAGTTCAAGAATAAAGCAATGAATCCCACTTCAACAAAGAATTTAAAAGATACACAACAATTTAAGTTGACACCGCAACTATATTTCCAATGCCTTTGTCTTTTTCTGTATATAAAATACAAAGTAAATTTGAAATTTTGTGACTTAGTATTTGTATCTAAACTAGGGAAACATGATTTGAATTACATTTGCGGCGGGGGGTGGGGGTCACTCCACTGAATGGAAGAAGGAGCCAAACATCAAATGCAATTCCAGGTACCACAGCAAAAATACTAATATGGCAGGCAATTAACGTCACTAGAAGGCAGCTTTGCTCAAACCGCCGATATAGCCCCCGAAGTTAAGAGAATGCGAGAGAGCAGGTAGGCTGTGCCGGGGAGATAAGGCCGAAAACCTGCAGGGCGGCGCCAACCCTGTCCATTCTCACTTCAGGGTACTGCTTCTCCTCTGTCCTCAGACCCACAAAACAGAGGGGAATGTCAGGTGGCTCAGCCATCCACGCTGAGGGAGAGTAGTACAGCTAGGGTGTGGGACCGGGGGCCATGGGGGATGGGGGAGCGGGGGTTAGGAAGATTCAAAGGACCCCTAAGTGACTCTGGCCCTAAAAAAATTAAAGCATAATTGGGGACCCAATATGATATGCTTTCATGGGGCCCGAAATCTCTAGTGTCACCCTTGGGTATGGCAAGCAGCAGTATGGTACAGCATCATTTATCTAAAGCCGTTATGGTTACATGCCCAAATGTCATTGTCAAAATGCCATGGACGGACAGCACAGAAGAGCCGCAGAATGGGCAATAAGCCATCCATCTTCAAGCCACCCCTCCGGAACAGAGTTGGTGGATGGGCAATGTTATGATACTTACTGATTAATCCATGATATCATACTTGTTGTCCCTTAATATGAAACCAGAAACTGACATATAGGTGAAATGTTAAACAGTTGGTTATTTGACCTGAATTTGGGAAGAGCAGTTCAAACGAGGCTAGGCATTGGTGAGGCTAAATGGGTGAGTCACTGACCATAATCCAACCACCAAGAGGGAATATAAGGAGAATAGGAGCAAGTCGGGGGGGGGGGGGGGCATCATGTGAAAATGGAGCAGAGAGGCAGGGGAACGGGTGGTCGGGGGCTCGGGAATCTGTCAGATGGTGAATCTCATTGCTCTGCGCAAAGCGTCTCCCTGCTCCGCTCCGCGGGAGGACAGCGAATCAGCAGCCGCCCAGACGAGCCGAGAACCGCGAGGCGAATCTCGAGAGGCCGTGATTGTCACAAATGTGCCCGCTGATTGTGTATTAGGCGGCTGCCAGGCGCACTTTTACTTTGCCCGAAAATATTTCTAAAGACATTAGCTGCGCGGCTCTTTAATACGCTATTTAAAGCAAGCTCGTCAACAAGCAGGCAAAGAAGGTTAAATGTACACCCTAATGGCTGTTCTGCAAGTAGCTGTCAAGTACCGGGTACACCGTATCTCCCTGTCTCTCTCTCAAACACACAAAAGCATGAAACTCACAAACGAGGTATGCATATGGCCCTGACTTACAAAATCCAAAATATATCAGGAATGACAAACACAGCGATATAAATAAGAATAAAAAAATGAAGGGAGCTGTTTATACTGCAATTATATGGCTCTCAGAATACACAGGTCTGCAAGATGCAATAGTTTGGCCACATAAGTGCTCCCCCCTGCCCCCTTTGATGTTGAAATGTTCTTTTATTTTCAAAGTGAGCACTCAAGTCACCTGACTAATGTTTTTCAGAAGCAAAGAACAGCAGCCGCTGTAGGCAGCACAGTAAACCAGGAAACTTAAATTAAATCTGGCTGCTAAGTGCAAGAAGGCAAGCTGATGTTTTGTAAATGGCGCTCACATTCTAGAATAATCTCTCATAGCCTATTCAACATACTTTACTATCGATTCTTTACACTGCACTTAATGCTCTGACCCTCCATGCCGGTTATGGTCAATTTTCACATACATTCTTGAAAAATTGGCTTTTAATCTCTACGGAACCACCTGGCAAAAGATGGAAGAGCAATAAGACAAAAGAAATGAAGGACGAGCTTGAGGCTGCAGTGTTGCTCGAGTCGTCCTACGTGTTAATGCCTTTGATTTCACAGCCTATTTTTCATCTGCTATCGCAGTACAGTAGTGGGGGGTCTGTGGGTTGCTGGGAATGAGGGAGGGGCACAGAACTCAAATGAACACGCAGTGCTGCCAAAAGCACATGTGACTGATCTGACCCATATAAAAAATGACAAATGTTTTACTCACATATTGCAATATGCTGCATACTGTAGAATAAGCAGAACAATAATAACAATAATCATCATCACCACCACTGTCAGCCATCTTAATAAGGCTCTGATTTGACCTATTTTTGGCTTGTTTTAATCCTTTTATGCAGCCATGAAACTTCTTTTCTTCTTACTTATAGCAATGTATATTGACAATGGCAGCCAACCTCTTTGTACCTGTGTAGTCATAAAAGCGCGATACATGGTTCCAGGTCAGTATTACACCCAAAGCACAGAAAGGTACCGCGCTGTATGATCACCTGAGTCCCTCTCACTTCCTCTCTTTCTCTCCCTCTCTGTCCTATCCCACCTCTGCCACTCTCCTTAATTCCACAAAAGAAGTATGTGTACTCCGAAATAAGATACACACAAAAGTATATTTCTCGTTATGTTTAAGGTTTTTTGTACATGCATACTGCAAAGGATAATTATCATATACACTGCAAATAGAATTAGTAGTTAAACTACTATCTTGATTCCATTATTTGCATTCATGTTATGACAAATAATACTAAAATTCCGATCAGTCTGACACAGTCAGTTTGTCAAAGGGTCTTACCAAGGCGCCACGACTCATCAGCACCAAGGACAGCTCCAATGACTACTGCAGAAATTGTTCTTCTCCATCACAGACACGGTTAAGTCTGTGTGTGTGTGTGTGTGTGTGTGTGTGTATGCGTGTCTTTAAAAAGACAAGCGTCAATCCCGCAAATCTTATTAATAAACCAACATCATATAAATTCCAAGCTTTAATTCTGAATGTATTTCGTTTGTTTGCTTTTAGCCTCAGCCACACAGCCGCGCACGCCGGTCACTTACCCCGGAATGGCAGAGAGATTTTGGTGCGCGCTTCTCGCCATCTCACAGCCTTTGGTTCGTGTTTTGTGCATTTCTGCGCGCAGAGACGGACAGTCGACAGTTAGTTCCCCGATGGAGATGACCAGCTCTCGATAAAGGGCCACAAGTGTATTGAAATCGTGGACAATCTGAAAAATAAAGAAATAAATGAACAAATATCAGTGTATCTATCTATTTCATGTTTCTTTTAAAACAAACCTCTTTTTTTGTCATTTTTACTTAGTAGACAGGACACTTTTTATTGCCGCTAATTTAAGCAGCAAGGGCTACTGTATGGTAACAAATGAGTTTTTTCACGTCACATTAACCGAATAGCACTGTTTTAGTGCACCTTGTCTTTGTACAGAGTATGAGTTCTTACACGGAAAGCCGGAGAAGTAGATGTGCAGGTGGTAACGTGTATACATGTCGGTACAGATGTGTAAACAACCTGATTTTCTCCAAAAATCAATATTTATAATTTTTGCTATGTACATAGGTAAAACCCAACCAGAGACGGAGACTTTGGAAAGAACGCAAAATGCATCAAATTAATTACCTTTTGCATACTGATAATTTAAGGAGCAATGCACTTTAAATAATCTAAAATATTAAGTGCGTTAATATGTTCATGGTTTATTTGTATAATGAAGGCTACAACGGCCATCCATTAAAGATTTTGCTAAAGCTTCTTTTTCTTCTCCAAATCTTACTGATGCAAGACATGGATTTATATAGTCGCTTGCGGCAAAAAAAACAGGCAGATTACGAGACCTCTACGCAATTCAGTCAGTGCATAATGAAGAGATGGTGTGTTTTGTAATACACGTACATAATTCACATTCAGCCACATTATTAAATAGATACTAACTTCATAAAAGGCCATCGCTAAGTACATTCAGCAACGTTGGGAAATCGCTTGACTTCAATGTATACGTATAATATTAATCTCCATTAGCCTTGTAACAAAAATGGCAAAGAGCGTTTGGTTTTATTAGATTTGCTATACAATAACAGGGATGATTTGCGGCAGTTTAAATATAGCACGTCCGCACGTGATTTGAATAGAAATAGGTGTGAGAGCACGCTAGCTGCACAGGATCACAATAATAAAGCGGGATCGCGTCACCAGTCGTACCCACCATCCTGCAGTGCTCCACCACCCGCTGCGTTTTGCGGGCGCTTTCCGTGCTCTCCCGGCGCTCCGAGTCCCGGTACTGAGGCTTGCCGATTTGAAAAATGTTCCCGGCGGATTTGGGGCGGTTTTTGCGCCCATTCGGTGCAGAACTCATGCATAAACGGCGGCCGGTAAAACCTACGCGTGCAATTAATTTTTAGATTATTCTTGCAACCTTAAAAAAAATTGTTCGCTGCTTTTGTTGGTGTTAATGCGGTATCACTGAGAGCGACCGACTGGTTCCCTACTGCTCAGACAGGTCGTTTGGCTGGCAGCCTTCAGCGCGCAAGAGTGCCGGATGAGCGCTCGCATCTCCTCTCCGCATAGCTTCCACTGCAAAAGCGAGTCACCTTCACTCCAGCAGAAACCCGATTACAGATTAAATGTCCTGTTCGCACTCGGCCGATCCCTCCTTATGAGAGGCGCATTCAGCGAGATGGAGCTGCAGCCATGTCTTACATTTATGAGTTTCCATGAAGCACTGCGGATAGGCTGATGCGTCTCAGTCGTACGCGGCAGCTTTTACTCTAACGTCGCCAACAGTGAGATCATGACACGGATGCTGTGGAAATAAACAGTTCGAGTGACAATATCGCTAATGCCACGAAATGACGAGTCGGACGATTGCGATAACAAAAGCTAATGACGGATGCCACTGACTGTCCCGATCTTGTTTTCAAGGTCTTCTTCTGAGAGTAGAGCTAACCTTGGTGAAAAAAACAGGAGACACACAATAAATGGCAGCCTGACGTGGCAAGCAGAACGACACACTCATAAGACAAGAATACTAATGCAATCCATCAAAGTAGACCCCTCGGGAATGAACACCTTTTCCAGTAGCCTATGTTAAATCGTTAATTACACCTCACCCAAACTCATCCACAAAACGATGACAAGAGTGTCAGAAGTTCTGGGGCAAAATATGCAAAGATGAACATTTCTATATTTAGGATTTTTCATATTTAAGAATACAAGCCGTATTGCTTGCTTAAAGAAAGACAGGCGATTGCAACGACCTAAATATGAAAACATAAAACAGTGTCTTTCAATCTACAGTATATTGAAAGTGGTGCCTTTTTAATGTCATATTCGTTTGATTATGATGCACCGTCAGCTCACAGTGCTAACAAAATGTATGAAAGGAAATGGTTTAAAAGGGGGAAATGAAAGAATAATAATGTCCATTGCAGGTTTAATAAAATAATATGTGAACTTTATGGATGTTTACTGGACCAGCTGAGAGCGACCGTTTCGAGGGGTGTACTGGACAATGTCCTTGAACCCGAATCCTTGGTGTTGACGGTCGGAAACAGCAACAAAAAAACAGACCATTTATGGTATGTCGCAATTAAATGTTCGAATATTTTGACAGTCGAAGCGTCTATTTTAACGATTATTGTACTGCGTAGTCCGATATAGTAAAGTACACTAATATGATTTGCGATGCAGGCATGTTTAGGCTAGCTTAGTACAAATGAAAATTTATTGTTGCGTAAATAATAAGTAAATATTGCTGGCTAAGCATTTCGATCCAAGCAACAATATTTCCACCGGATCACGAAACTTTTAATCTCAAGTGAATTTAGGATTGATTTACAATTCTTGATCTGGCCACTTAAAAATATCTCGTCTTAAACCATCTGTGATACACATGTCGTTACCATCCATACTAGCTTTAATATTCTCTAACAGTCCACTCTTCAATAGCGTTTGATAGATGGATGACAAATTACGGTGCGGCAAAAGGTGTTGTAACCAAATATATTTTACTTACTAGTTTATAATTTGGGACTGTTTGCGCTGTAATATAGGCATATTGTGTTGAAGATGGCCACTAGCTATATTGAAAGTAAAGAACTTTATATTGCAGTTTTAAACTAATATTTGCAACTTCTATGTTTATGTTTATGTAACGGACCAAAAATTGGAAATAAATGCTTACAGGAAACGCAGCATCGAATTTAATTTGCGCTTGAAATGTTGACCTGTTTTGGGTTGATGGTATAATCGTTTCCCAGATGCAGTTAGGCGATTCCGTAATTGATCGGGATTACGTCGGATTGCTTTAACGCTCCAAAGTCTTTTATTAGTCGGCAGTGAAAAAGTGGAGATTTACTTTTCCAACTATCCGATTCTGTGTTTTTCCTTGATAAAATTGCATTCGATATGTTTATAAGAAAAGTTCCCTTCCAGGTCTGCCACATCTTTGAAGGAGTTTAAACACCCGAATCCTCTCGCAGTTTTCAGTGGTGACCGTTTAAACATGTCGCTATTAAGCACGACTGCAAAGTGGACGCACATGTTGACATTAAAAATGAAATGGGCGTACATTGTGCTGGGTTTGGTTATATTTAATTCATGTTTATTACACCTTAGCAGCCAGAGCTACAATACATAAACATTTAAACAATTCTTATCAAGAATAATGCATGATACAAATCAACATTATTAAAGCACCGATTTTCCGGAACAGTGAAGCACATTAATCTTAATCTTTAACCTTTCTTTCGAAAAGTAATCATGAATTTGATTGCCATTCAAGAAATGACCACGCAAATGAACGTCCGCTGGTTCTCTGTAATGTATATGATAAGTTCACCTCTTAAGCTCTGGGTCATGGTGTTGTGAGCAGAACTATCGAGTGGGAATGCAGAAAGATAGGGCTCATGGGCCTGGTGGAGTGGGACCGGCTAGACACTCTGGCTACGGTGGATAAAGCCGAATTTCAGCACATGGATTACTTGTTTACTACCAGCTGGCTGTCAGGTGACCTCCAGGTCATCGGGGTGGATATGAGGCTGGCTTTGGAACCCAGAGGGTTGGACCTCTACCTCAGAGGTCAGAACCATGAGTACAGAATTTCAATAGCAAAGGGCATCCCCATCATCAAAAGCAGGTCCGATTTCAGACGTTCATCTGACGTTGTAATATGATGTCATGTGATGTGTAGGTACAGTGCTCATAAAGTAACCACAGTGAAGTGTCAAGAGGAGGATGTGTAGGTATTTGCTGTTTATTTCTCATCATCATTATCATCACCATCATCATTTGCACCACTTTCCCCTGGTGAGGGTCACAGAGATGTTTGTCTGAAGAAATAATGGGCAATGTGTGTTTTTTTTTTTATAAGCAAACATGATGTCACCCAGTCAACCACACGACAGTGGCATGTTAATGAAAGATTTATCTGAAAGTAACCCTGACATGGGCATTATCTAAGCTTTGAGTGTAATATTCCTGTAATATGGCTAAGAACTTTAAGAGCTGCACACTGCCACAGAAGTTCTCCTCCACCATATTGCGGATCTGGATGGGCACAGCGACGGGCACAGCGACGGGCAGAGAGAAACCATGGACGCCTTATCACCAGTGCTGAGGCAGCCTTGCTGAACTGGGCCGATTATGCTCTCTTCTGTGACTGATATTTACAGTGCTATATATAGCCAAAACGGCAGTATTATTGTGGACACTGGCCTGACCTGTAAACACTCTATAAATGCCATTGTATAATGAATCAATCTATATTGTATATTTATACATAAAATGTGATTTTATTCTTCAGTAACATTCATTGTTTTTCATGTGTTTTCACCTGAAGCATTTCATGGCTATACACATATTTAGAAGCTTGCCCCAGCTCCTGGATTGAACCTTGGTTAATTTTCTTAACCTGTTGCAAGGTGAGGTGTTTCGATGAAAAACTACAGGCAATACTACTTTTCAGGCAATAGCTTGACTTTTAAACTAGTTCAAATGTTTGTTAGATTTGTTCCCTCATCCCTCCACTCTTCCCCCCCATCTGGAATGGCCAATTATCACATCTATCATAGGTCTCCCCCTGGCACAGTGTGCCATGCCCATACCAGCTCAGGAGGGGTGAAGACCAGCGCACATCTCCTCCGGTGTGTGTGTTGTCAGCCACCCACTTCCTGTCACTCTGCAAGCCGCGCACTTCATCAGAGCAGAGTAATGCTCTTGGAGGGAAGCCCTATTCCCTCAGTCGCAGCCGCGGCTCTGTCAGATTCGTCCGACGGCAGACGTCGCTGTGGAGAGGTGTGTGCAGGAACCCGGCTGTCTCATCCACTTGACAGGGTTCTCTGGGTCACCTTGACATAGACGCTTCATTAAATCCTTTTTTAAACCCTGGGTTGCTTTGAAATTTCTGATTTCTAGTATGAGCAACAATGCAGTTTTGCATTTTCTCACCATTAATAACAGCCAGTAATCACTGGAAGCATACTGCTATAGTTTAATTCCCATTGCTGGAACCCAGACTGACTCACCGGCATGAGTGGATAATGAAATATTTGTTTGCTATTTGTACCAGTATGAGTAAGGTACTGTTACGCGCCTGGTCTAGGTCAGGAGGCAATAACAGGTAAGCAGGGGGCTAAAGTGCACTACCAGCAGGAGGAAGAGAAAAGGAGTTCACAGAGGTTTGGGGTTCAATAAAATAGGCCTTTTATTCGCCCCGAATCAGCACATTGTAGAGTATCATACCACTACCCACTGAGGGGAACAAGGCACAAGATCAGTACCGAAGAAAGATAAGGAACAAAACAGATCTGAAGGCCCCTAAACTTTACTATCAAGAAAGGGGGAAAAAAGAACAACTTACCTGCTACCCAAACAAAACATATAAGGTTTGGCACCTGCCTGCTTCCCTAGTTTGACTTAATATGTACACATATAACTGCACCGAGCAGTTCTTAAGGGCTCTCAAACCCATCTTACACTACTATGAGGCACACAGACAGAGATGAGGGCAAAGCCTAAGGTCAGGGTCAGTCATCTGTCCAGCACCACACAGCAGTTTGTTTGGTGTTAAGGGTCTTATTCAAGGACCCAACAATGATAAGATCCCATTGTCAGTCATAGGATTTGAACCAACAACATTCTGATCATGGGCACAGAATCCTGACCCAGAGAGCCACATACCACCCTTACGAACACCTCAAAATGATACACAGGGTTTTCATCCCTCATGTTTCAATACTGCCAGGTCAGAAGGAAATTAAAACCAGGTCATACAGTAGCTGTACATATGACATTTTAGCAGTGACATTTTTTCCTACATTAGGCCAATAAAGAGGAATTGGATTGCGGTGTGTGAAATAATTCACATATTACAATGATTGCTTTCTTTATATTAGGTGGCAGGGTGGTAAAGCGACTTTGGAGCTATATTCTTCAGCTCAGTACTTTGCTTTTCTTTAATACTTTTCCAGATGCATAAATAAATTACAGGCCTCTGCTTAGCTTACTTTATACTAATAATGTGGTTCATCCCTCTTCCAAACTGCTCAGCCAGTAAGCTTATGATGGGAACAATATGGTTGTCCTGTGCTAATTCTCATAAGATCCCATTAAAACTTCTACAAGAAAGCACCCTTTTGTCCTCAGATGGCTGCACAATATTTGTGGGCTACTATGTGACACTGAGAATGACCAGATTCTCTCCAGACTCCTGCTCAACCATTTCGAGCTGGGAAAGATGATACAGGGCCTTGAGACTTGCAGTTATGGTCATAGGATGGATAGATCCTGTCTACTGTGTACCTGGGGGTAATCCCAGAGTCCTACTTTTTATTCAAGCAGCATACATTAATGATATGATATCTGAACTGTATTTAAATTATTTACTTGTTACGGACTATGGAGGATAAACTTACGCAGTAAGACAAATGACTCTGCTTGCTTGAAAAAGGAGTATTTAGTTTAAAATGAGGCTCTGGCTTTGATGAGTAAAGTTAATATATTTTAATGAAGAGTGATGTTTTTGTAGCCAGTGAGAGATGGTTAGACGGAATGATGGAAGCAGTGAAGCATGGAGTGAATGGCAAGATGCTTCATGTTCCTTAAGATGGCTGGTGTGGGAAGG